CAGCAGTTAGAGCAAAGGCCGGTGGATCAAAGAGTCGTGGGTTCGATTTTGGTCAAGGGCACATACGTTGGTTGTGATTCAATCCCTGGCCCTCACTGGGGTCGTGTGGGAGGCAACCAATTGATGTGTCTCTCTCACATCAATGTTTCTCTCTCTCTCTGTCTACCTCCTCCCCTCCTTCCTCCCACTCTATCTGAAAATCAATGGAAAAAATTCTTGGGCGAGGATTAAAACAAAAACAAAAAACTGTTTTCTCTCTGATCACCATTCCAAGTATTTATATGTTCTCATCACCCACAATATTCCCTTTCACGTGAAACTCCCCAGGGTACCATTTTTCTACACCAGTGAGAGCTGAAGTCTGAGGTCTGGTGGAAAAAATAAACTTCCCACAAGTGTATCTACCCTTGGAGCTACGGATCTGAATATTATTCACAGTTGGAGGTGATTTTATTTTCTTGTTGGAAAATCCAAAAAAAAATAGGTCAGTATTAATAGTCTTCAACTGTAATGATAAAGTGGTGGATACAAAGGTGCCTCCTACTGCCACTAGGAACAGCCACAAGGAAGGGATCACGCCGTGGTGAGTTCCAGAAATGAAGCGATGAGCCAGCCACCTGTAAACCTCGGTTGAAAGAGCTCCCAACCTGCAGCTGGGCCAGCCTGGGCCAAACCCATTACCTGTTCTTGCCTTTTATGGAGGAAAACTGCCAGGAGTCAGAGAGTCATTTCCCTAACTTCCACAGGTCTTTCTAGACTCGTGGCTTTGTATAAGTAGATAAATGACATCCAGTAATTTGAAAATGTAGAAGTCATTATTTTAAAACAATAGCTGGGAATACAGCGTGAAAATACATACGCCTGAGATTTAAATACTTTTGAATAAAAATGCAGACAGATGGGGTAACCAGGCAATTTGATGGAGGCAATGTGGACAATGCCAACTGGACGCTGTCCCTAATGGGGAGAGTAACAATGTTTACAGAACCACTGTCATCAACTCTGGCTGACCCTGCCTGAGAATCAGCTACACGAAACCCTGTAAGGAGCAGGAGGGGAGGGGAGGGACGCAGTTGTACGAAGACAAAAGGAAATCACTACGGAAAGCAACTGTGCGAGCGGCTCGGGAAAACGAAGGGGAAGCCAAGAGAGAGAGACAAGTACAATGCACGAGCTCTAGTTCTTTCCCGAGAAGCTTCCGGAAAAATTTCAGATCGGTCAGCTTTCTCCCGACTCAACGGTTTGGGTTTTTTAAATTTTTTTTAAAAATGAATTTTAGAGAGAAGAAGAGGAAGGAAGAGAGAGAGAGAAATATTGATGTAAAAAACATCAGTCAGTCCTGGCCGGTTTGGCTCAGCGGTTAGAGCATCGGCCTGCGGTCCGGAGAGACCCGGGTTCGGTTCCCGTTAAGGGCACGTACCTCGGCTGTAGTTTGTCCCTGGCCCTGGTTGGGTCGTGTGGGTGGCAACCACTCGATGTGTCCCTTTCACGTCGATGTTTCTCTCTCTCTCTCTTCCTCCCACTCTATCTGAACAAAATATCAAAATATGTCCTCGGATAAGGATAAAAAAAAAACAAAAACAAAACACATTGGTCAGCTGCCTCCTGAACACCCCCTATTGGGACTCAAGCCCACAACCTGGGCATGTATGCTAAGACTCGAACCTGGCAACCTTTGGGTGCATGGGACAATGCGCGACCAACTAAGCCACACGACAGGGCCCCAGTCAACCTTTCGTCTCACCCCCTAGTGTGCAACAAGGGCATCTGGAGAGATCAGAGCAGCCAGACTCCAAACTGCCGCCCACAGCACCTGTCAGACGTCTGGATGCCGAAGGGTCTGCCGCGTGCGTGCTGTGTGTGCCCTGGTGACCCCAGCAGACCCGGCCGAATCAAACAGCCCTGACAAACGAGTGCGCAGGGCTGCAAAGACTGTTGGAACCGGTAACAGCAAGGAATCGCAAGCTGATTATGTGACGTGCTCAAGCTTATGGGGAGGCTGTTTGAGTCGAGCAATACGCTGCAGCTGATTCTTCCAAAACACACTGAAAATGCATCTCCCAAACGTCCAATGGCCTGGTGAGGTTTTCTTCAACCTTCCAAACAGTGCAGACCAGTCAACGTCAGTGCAGAAAAAAGTTTTACCGGCAAAAAAAAGTTTCTCCAGTCAAGTCTGTTAATACTGGTTTACTGACGATCAGCGAGCTCCCTGAAGCCAGCCAGCCGTGCTGTGGGTGCTCTCTGAACCCAGTGAGGTATCGAGACCAGGAAAATGCCAATTACATGGGACCATTTCTCCCTGAAACCAGAAACACTGGCAGGACAATGAGCTCTCAAATGCAGGATTTTTAAAGTCAAGGACATACGGGAAAGTAAACAGTCCACCTTCACAGTCACCCAACCCCAACGCGATGTCCGGTGGTTTATGGGGCAAGAGTAAGCCTGCGCGTGGATTTTGAGACATTGTGGGAAGTCTGAGCTGAGTGTCCTCATTGCTAAATAAAAGTCAACCACAACAGCAATATTTAGAGGCTTCTCAGAGGGCTCGCCAGACAGACAGCTCCCCTGCTGTGTGCTTTTAAAATATGTCCACAAATTCTTTGAAACGATTCCCATCAAGAAGTGGAGTCTAGTCCGGCCGGTGTGGCTCCATGGATGGAGCATCATCCCATGAACTGAGAGGTTCCAGTTCGATTCCCCGTCATGCCTGGGTTGTGGGCTCAATCTCCAGTGGGGGGCGTGCAGGAGGCAGCCAATCCATGTTTCTCTCTCTCTCTCCCCCTTCCTCTCTCTCGAAAAATATCAATTAAAAAAAAGAAAGAAAGAAAGAAAGAAAAGAAATGGAGTCTAATTTTCTTTCCCTTAACCATGAGCTGGATCCAATGAACAAAATGAGGTTGGAAGTGACTTGACGTGACTTCTGAAGTTAGGTTATAGAAACAGAGCCAGCATCCGCCTCGCCCCTCTCGCGCTGCTCACCAGCGTCCCAGCTGCCATGCTGTGCGGAGGTCCGGCCAGTGCGGGGCCATGTGTAGGTGCTCCAGCCGACAGGCCCCGCTGAGGCCCTGACCAACAATCAGCCTCAGCCGGCTGATTATATATGTGTTACCTCAACCATGTGAGTGAGGAAAGGCTTCAAGAACATTTCAGCTGACTTCCCAGCCACCATCTGACTGTAACCACATGAATGAAAATCATCTAGCCGAGGCCAGTCGATTCCCAGAACCATAAGAGATAATAATAATCAATAAATGTTATGCTTTTAAGAGTGAGGTCTGCAAACTATGAACTGTGGGCAAAATCTGGCCTGCAACCCATTTTTCTGCAGCCTGTGAGCTAAGCTGGGTTTGGCACATTTTAAAAGAAACTAAACAAAACAAAGAAAAATATGCAACAGAGACCATATGTGGCCTTCGAAGCCTTAAAGTCGTTATTCTATGGCCCTTTACAGAAGTTTGCTCACCACTGTCTTAAGCCTCCACATTTTCAGATGGTTTGTTATGCGGCTACAGGTAACTGGAACACACGGAACGTAGGAGGAGCCGTCGATGGGCAAACCCTGGATATAGAGGCCCATGAAAGCCACGTGAAAAGCCACAACTCAACTGTTACCTGCAGGTCAATACCTATGCCAGCGTTGATTACTATCGTGAAATTTTTTGATTTCAGAAACACACTTGCTCAGCCAAAGTAAAAGTGATGGCAATGTGATCTGTCGACCAAGAAGAAGATAATAAACATGGCCCTCAGCTCTGGTTCCAGATTAAATTCCAAAGTCTGAAAGACTCCTTAATAATTTTAGTAATAATAGCTGGCATTTGCTGAATGCCTTACTAGGTTACAGACAGTGTGCTAGGCTATTTTATGTGTATTACTTCAGCTAAGCCTCGTGACAACCCTTATTTCCATTTTACAGATGAGAAAACCGAGGCACAGGGAAATGATCTAATCTATTCAAGATCGCATAGGTAGTAAGTGCAGAGCCAGGATTTGAACTCAGGACTGACTTGCATCCGTAAACTTAACCACTGCTTCTCCTCTCCAGAAAATGTCCTATCAAGACATCCAGCCCGTGCTTAAAAAATGTAACAGGCTTCCGTAGGAAGGACAGCGTGCTTTGACCTCTCTGGCGGGCCTCCCTAGAGGCTAGTCAAGGGCTATTCATCTCCCAGGAGCCCGGCCTGGAACCCACGCTCCATCCCCTTCCCCTGGAACTTGGGATCTTCAGTAGCACTACTTTTTCTGCTGCGAGGATTTGAAACTCCCAGACTGGCCCCAAACTATGGCTGGTTACAAACGGCTCCTTCCAAACCATCAAAGCCTTCCTCGCATTTTTCTCCTGCTTTCTGTCGGTCAACGCAGGGAAATTTATGCTTGCCAAAGGAATGACTGTCGGGGAAGACACAGCCTGGGTTCTTCGTCGCCAGCCTTTGGGTCGAGAACATCAACAGCCTGATCGAGCGCCAATCAGCGTGAAAAGGATACGCAAACCACTGTTGGGACCAGTGGTTTTGAGAACTGCGACAAGTATCAGTTTCCTCATCTACAAACTGAGCGACAGCACCTGCGTTCAATCTGTTGCGCACACCGGTGCCAAGATACACAAAGGGCCTGGCCCAGGTGGCTGGCATACAATTAATGGCGGTTATAATTACTGTAATTTCGACACAGCGCATGCCTCTCTGTTAAAGAGCTGATAACTGGCCAAGGACATTTCACCGGAATAACTGGAAAAAATGTTAATCCCGAGAAAGATCCATATTCATGAACAAGGCGGAGAGGAAGAGTTGGTGCTTCCCCCTCCCTTTGCTCTAAGCCTCGTCCACCGTGGAAGGCGGTGTTTTCATTTTAATGTAACAACGGCCCCCTTCGCATTCGTTTCTCCAGCCGAACTCGGCACCAGGAACTGGGGACCACGAAAGAAGGGGCGATGCGCCGATGTGAAGGGCAGGCCGCCTCCGCGCAGGCCCAGGGGCAGGGCGCGCGTCTCGGGTACTCACCAGAAGGGGAAGATGACGAGGCGGCTGATGAAGAAGATGGCAGAGAAGATGAGGAACAGGCTGTTGCAGGTCTGCTTCCACCCAGCGTAGGAGAACATCTTAGCAGACTGGAAAAGAGACGGGCATCGCGTTCAGATAAAATGGTGCGAGCACAGAGTTCTGAGTGGGAGGTTTGTCAGTGATGGAGTGTCTGGGGCCCGCTTCAGAACCACCTGGGCGGGGCGCGCGTGAACGGGGACATAGACGAAGCACGATTTGCGACAGTGGTCACCGTCATAGTGGGGATGGGTCCATTGGGTCTGCTACACTCTTCTCTGTCTTGTCAAAATACGTTCAGATAAAAAGGATATGTTAAGATATCGCTCTTGTCTTTCCCCAGCACGACGAGTTAGCACAGCTGCTCGGAACGTGCACTTTATTTGGGCGTGTATTTCACTTCTCCGTTGCCCGGGAGGTCAGCGGGGACACGCGTGAGGCGCTGGGCTGAGCCGGGCGCACGGGGACGAGACAGAACGAGGCAGCCACCTGAAGGCACATGGAGGCACCTCCTGGGCCTTGTCCTGGTTGAAATCAGGTTTCAGGCACTTGATTTTCTCTACTGACATTATGCTGACCTGCACTGCTTCTATTATCTGTGTCGAACGAGAAGAACTACAGAAAGCATTGGTTAATGTGGCCTTAGCAGGTTAACTGATGGGGATTCTCTGTCCCATTGTCCAGTGGGGCCCAAGGCCGAACGGGACCGTGTCTGGAGTTGGGCTGGGGTGGGTAAGAGTTGCTGAGGGTAGCGCATCCCTCCAGGGAGCGTGGCTTAGGCCTGGGTCATTTCAGGGCTGAAATCACCCCAGAAGCTCAAGGCCCCTCCGGAACAAGAAAGGCTACGTCTTTACACTTCAGGAAGGGTCACAGTGCATGCTGCACCCTTACCACGGGGTAAGGGCATGGTTAAGCCATGGGGTTGGCAGGGGGCCCAACGGGAACGGTCTCAATTGCTGAACTAGAAGGCAGTGTGCCGGTGGCGGCAGACGGCGTGGAGGGAAGGCTAGTTCCGTGAGTGCCGGATCGGAGGGGGGCACTGCCTGAGGGCCAGAGGCCAGGCCAGCGTGGGTAGCCAGAGACGTGCACAGGTGTGAAGACAGCCCTCTCTTTGGGGCAAACATACAGCCCATTCTGACTGTACAAAGATGGGTGTCAGACAAGTAGCCCCCTTTCCTTGGCTCAGCGACAGTCAGGATTCTGGTAGAGTGTTGGGCCTGGATCTGAACTTGAACGTGTGCACAGTGAGCGAGGACGAGGAGATGCACGGAGGAGGGAAAGGGATTCTTATAAGTAAAAATGGTAAACGTTGAGGCTGTTTCTCCTCGGAAAGAAAAAGCTAAGAAATGGCCCACAACTGTCTGGAGGGTTATGAAAGACTAATAGTCCCCATCCCTGGAAGGTCTAAACAGGCGCACAAGTCGTACCACGTCTGGGTTCAATTAGAACTTGACTGAGAGGACAAACATGTGAAAAACGGTCCGGGGAAGCTGTGGACGAGGCACCCCGGAGAATATCGGAGCGGGCCCGGGCCCCTGCCGCACGCTGTCCCCGCCACCAGCCGACGGCAGCACGGGCCTTGCTCACTGAGCCCTCGTGTGGCCCGCCACGGGCGAACCCGGAATGATTCATGATCGCCAACCGCAAGCAGGAGCTGCTCTCATCATTCACCCACGAAGGACCTCTGAGTGTGACATTCCATTCGCCTTGCTTTTCCCCAAAGGTCCTCGGAACATTTTCTAACAGTAATGAGCTCAACGTGACAGCGTGCCCTACGGGTCAGGTACGGCTTCTCACGTTACAGTGGAGGACAGAAAACAAGCCATTTTGCCCCGTTGCCTAAGGAGTTGCGCTGCGTCCACGGCAGGGTGGGGGAGGGCTGGCAGGGACAACCCTGGGCTTATTTTCACTTCCAACATCGAACTCCCTTGAAATAACACAATGAAGCTGTTTTCACAGTGGGCACACACCACAGGCAATTGAACTGGAGGGTTTCGAAGCAACAGCGTAGCATAACATTCTTAAGTCATGGCCCATGTGGTCTTCATTTCCAGGCAGGGTCACTGAGATACGATCACAGCAGAGATGGCCACATTCGGAGAGCGACACATGGAAAAACTGGCACGGTCGCTTGGCTAAGCCATTTGCTGTCCCGGAGCAACGATGCAACGATAATGATCTTGACCTTCAGAATGGGATCTGCATGTCTAATTCGGATTACAGACAAGAAACAAAATGCCCTGTGCAGCTAGCGTTTCAATAGTAGCCAGTTGCTTTGAAATGGCTTCCAATGACTTCTGGTCATGTCTAGAACAGGGTTTGGCACATTACAGTCCAGTCTGGGGGCTAAAACGCTGGTCAGCTCTTGAGTTAAGAATGGTTTCCACATTTTTAAAGGCGTATAAGGAAAGAAAAATAGGAAAAGCTAAGAATATGTGGCCCTGGCCAGTTTGGCTCAGCGGTTAGAGCGTCAGCCTGCGGCCTGGAGAGACCAGGTTCGGTTCCCGCTAAGGGCACGTACCTCGGTTGCAGTTTATCCCCGGCCCTGGTTGGTCGTGGACTCGATGTGTCCCTTTCACGTCAATGTTTCTCTCTCTCTCTCTCTCCCTCTCTCTCCTTCCCACTCTATCTGTACAAAAATTGGAAAGGTGTCCTCACGTGAGGATAAAAAAAAACTAAGGATATGTGACAAGAGAGTCTATGGGGTGCACAACGCTAGATTCTCTCCCTGGCCTTTTACCAAAAAGCTTGCTGAACCCAGAACTAGAAGAAGAAGATCCTGTTACATTTCATTTCATTTCTTGCATGTCAGCCTATATTCCGTTACTAGCTCTTCAAGAGGCAATTGTGAATGAGAAGTGGGTTAGCAGCGTCTCCCCAGCTTCCTTGTGAGTGAGACTATTTCACTGACAAGCTCAGTGTCTCTGGGAAGAGTGGCTCAGACCCTGCCTCAGGTGGACAGGCCCTGACACACAGCGGACCCTGTGGAGAAAACCATCCTGATTTTGCTCCGTTCCCATATTTTGTGTGGTTTGGGAATAGGAAGACTCTTGTTCTAACGTCCCCTGTTCCAAAACATCCTTCCTTAGAAACTACATGTCATTTAAATGAACGGAGGAGCATCAGCGCAGGGCAGGCACCCAGTGGGTGTTCAGTTTGGCTTCCGTGAGTACGTGGTGCTGTCCGATGTTAAGAAGCCATGGTGACATGAGTCCAAGTTTGCCTTGAAGGGGAAAGAGCTCACCCCATCTTCAGGTGTCCCAGCCTACTCCCTGCACCACCTGCATGCGACTCCCACAAGTAACCTCTCCGTCCGGCAGTGTGGAGAAACAGACCCGGGAACCAAAACCTACAGGTTTCATGTCTTTGAGCTTGAAGGACTGGGGACCCGGAGACCTCTGTGGCTTGGGGTGTTTTCAGGACAGACAGCCCTGCTAAGTCGCTCACAGACAGTTCTTCCTGTGAGAACCCACGGGAACCCAGGACGTCGTGTTGTGATCAGTGTTTTAGCGGCGAACGTGTACCTCCAGCCAAATGTCGGCCACATCGTGCACAATCATCACCAGGGTCCCGCTGCGGATGTAATTGGCGCACCACGAGAAGCTCATCAGACTGATCGCGGCCAGGTGGTGGATGACGTGAGCCAGAAAATCCTGCACATGAGGGGTAGATGGAAACCACTGAGAAAATGCAGTTACTTCCCAATCACTGGAAGAGCTAATAGTAATAATAATAATAATAATAATAATTTAAAAACTAAATTACACCTACACATTTTGAAATTTGTAAAAACTTTCACTTTAATTCTAAACTTAATCCTTATGAAGGACATAGGACAAGAATTATCCTCATTGGTAAAGTCACTTAACATTTTTTTTTTTAATATGTTTTTTTGTTTGTTTTTTTATCCTCACCTGAGGACATTTTTCCATCTTTTATTCAGGTAGAGTGGGAGGGAGGGAGAGGAACAGAGAGAGAGAGAGAAACATCGACGTGAAAGGAACACATCGAGTGGCTGCCATCCGCACGACTGACCAGGGCCGGGGACAAACTGCAACCGAGGTACGCGCCCTTAGCGGGAACCGAACCCGGGTCTCTCAGGACCGCAGGCCGACGCTCCAACCGCTGAGCCAAACCGGCCAGGGCTTAATATGTTTTAATTGATTTTCTTTTAGAGGGAAAGAAACATCAATGAGAGAGAAACATCAATTGGCTGCCTCCTGCACACCCCCTATTGGGGACTGAACCTGCAACCCGGACACGTCCCCTGACCGGAAATGGAACTGGGACCTCTCAGTCCATGAGACGACGCTCAATCCACAGCCACACCGGCCAGGAAAAGTCACTTAACTTTGAGAAACCACTGAACAGTTGTCATCTAAGTCCTAAAATACGTGGTTCTTCCCGACGCCCCACACTGGATCTATGTACACGCACGCACACACACACAACCATATTCCTATATACATTTGCACTTACTGTTTATTCTGTGTCTAATTCCCAAAAGGAAAATAGACTTGAAACAAAACTACACAACCACTGAAATAAGAGGTAACACATAAAAGTGGAATAACTGTATTAGCTAATCTAGGCTAAGAAAAGTTACCACAATTGAGCATCAAAAACTCAAAGGTTTTCTGCAGAGAATATGTACAAACGGCCAAGAAGTACACGGAAATATGCTCAACTTCATCAGGAAAACGCAAAGCAAGGCCACGATGAGACACTACTACACACCCCCCAGGACAGCGACAATGAGAGAGAGAAACAGTCTTGGCCAGTTTGGCTCAGCCACTAGAGCTTCAGCCCATGGACCAAAGGGTCATGGATTCGTTTTCCGGTCAAGGGCATGTACCTGGGTTGCAGGTTCTATCTCAGGCCCCAATCAGGGTGGTGCAGGAGGCAACCAATCACGATGTTTTTTCTCTTTCTCTCTGTCTCCCTCTCTCTCTCTTCCGCCCTCCCTTCCACTCTAACAAAAAATCAATGGAAAAATACTCTCGGGTGACAATTAACAAAATAAATAAACAAACAAACAAACAATCAGCAGCTTTGGCAAGAACGTGAAGAAATTGGAACCCTTGTACACTGCTGTTAGGAATGTAAACTGGTGTGGCTGCTTTGTTAAGTAGGCTGGCAGTTCCCGAAAGGGTTAAACATAGAATTACCATATAGCCCAGCAACTCCACTCCTAGGCATATACTCAAGAGAAATAGAAACATACATCCAGCCCAGCCGGAGTGGCTCAGTGGACTGAGTGTCGCCCCATGGACTGAGAGGTCCCAGTTCGAATCCCACTCAGGGCACATGCCCAAATTGCTAGCTTGATCTCCAGTGGGGTGTGTGCAGGGGGCAACTGATTGATGTTTCTCTCTCATGTCAATGTTTCTCTCTCTCCCTTCCTCTCTCTCTCTCTTAAAAAAAAAAAAATCAATACAAACATTTTTTTAAAAGTCAACAAACTTAAAAATAATAAAAAATAAGAAATGGAAACATATGTCCATGTAAAACTCTGTACATGAATGTTCATAACAGCATTATTCATAACAGCCAAAAAGGTGGAAACAACCCAAATATCCATCAACTGGTAAGTGGATACACAAAAGGCAATACATCCACCCAAGGACCATTTTTTTAAAAGGGTATGAAATACGGACACCTGCTCCAACGTGGATAAACTTTGAAAGGATTAAGCTAAGTAAATGGAGCCAGATACAGAAAAACACACATTGTGGGATTCCATTTCTATGAATTTCCACAAGAGACAAATCCATAGAGACAAAGAATAGATGCGTGGTTCTGAGGGCTGGGGGATTTAGAAGAAATGGGAACTGACTGCTAAAGGAATTAATTTTTGAGGTGATGAAAATGTTCTGAAACACTGTGGTGATGACTGTGGAGCTCTGTGACTAGACTCTAAACCACCGAATTATGCACTTTAGATGGATGAATTGTATGGTATGTGACTATTTCAATACAACTGCTTTTTTAGAAAACATAAAAATTCCAGTTTCCTTGTGGCCAAAGTCAAAGAGTAAACATGATAATAATAATAGCTTAATTTATTGAGCACTTACTGTATACCAGGAAGTGCTTCATATGGTTTAACTTGCTTAATCCTCACAACAACCAGAGGAGATAGAAACTATTTTTAGCTCCAAGCTACAGACAAGAAAATCAAGTTTAGGGAGTTTAACCAACTAGCTCAAGATGTTTGTGAGTGGTCAAGCAAGGGATTCAACCCCGAGCAACCTGACCTGGAGACTGTGCTTTGCCCAACTCCGAGTGGTCTTATGTCTCTGACGGTATGTGTTTACAAAGACATGACATATATCTACATTTAATTTTTGAAAAAAGTACTCAATGCACCCTATTAAGCATAAAGAGAAATCAACTACTATAAAAAAATCAAAGGTTTTATTGCCTCAAGGAACAGAAAAAGATAAGATCAACCTACCTGAGTGTGTGTGTGTGTGTGTATTCAGACCTTCTAAAAATGATTTCCTCAATTCTATCTCTTGAGAAAATGACTCAATTAGCTTCCAAGTTAATATTTCTATAATGTTCCATTAAAATACTTACCAAGGCATCAAAGCATGAAAATAATTTGCACTGTTCTATCTGCTATAAAAAGCAATAAAGCTATGAACTGGAACCTAACACACATAAAATATAATTTAAAGATTAAAATTTGGGGCAGGGGATAAAAACTTTGGGGAAAACAATGAATCAAGTAACTTAGTCAATGAGAGACTTACCTTCCTCTTGACATCAGAACCCAGGCTAAATAAGAGAGACCAATAAAAACTCATCTCCAAGATGTAGTACCAGTACTGGGATGGCAGCAAGGGCTGAGAAAAATGAGAGTATTCTCGTCAATGTCATTTAATTCATTTTAAGGACAAAACGACTGTTTATACCTATTGATATAAGAGGCCCCCAAATAATGATGCTTTATATTTCAACTTCTGAGAAAAAAAAACTGAAAATAATATTTTGAGGAATTTTGTTTCTAAAAGGGTAGACAAGAATTCCAAAATAAAGTTATTCTATCAAAAGTTATCAAGCATAAGGAGGTAGGAATAAGAAAGAGAACAGACTCACAGGTGATCAAGAAACTGGATTTATCAGACTTGGACTTTAAAATAACTTTGAAAAATTGGTTAAAAGGTGGACATTTTCAGTGGAGATAAGGAATTCATAAAAAAAAGAATTAAAAAAAATTGTGAACTTAAAATATAATAACTAAAGTTGAGAACTCAGACAATGCAGTTAACAGCAGATTAGACACTGCTAAAAAAAGCACCAGTGAACTGGAGGACATGAAAGTAGAAAATAACCAGAACTGTGCAGGGTCTGAGATTTTTTTTCTCTGTTTGCAAGTTAGCTTGCCAAAGTGTCATGGATGCTGGTAGAAGATATGAAACTTCTGAATTACAAATAAAAAAGTTTATTATTCAAAGTAATAAGTTGCCAGATTATCAATATTTGTGTCGGAGCTCCCATCCCAAATCCCACAGGGCTAAGCAAAGACGGTCAGATGACTCCCATCCCAAATCCCGCAGGGCTAAGCAAACACATGCAGTGGGATGTGTTTACAGAGAAGAACCTGAGCTAGGGGAACCTGAATGTTTTGTCATGGACAGTAACGTGTCTATCCTTTGCTTCAGAAGGAGACATTCTTTCTATTCTACAAGGTGTTATACAAACAACCTTGATAAAACAGTGTGGAGCCAAAGGCCATCAGTGCCTCACTTCATAAAACATGCCAGAGTGCACGAGACCTTGGAGAAACGTCTCCTGACAGACAAGTCCAGAGAGACGAGAGGATGAAAAACCCTGGGGAAAGCGTAAGAGACACATGGGAGGTAGTGTCAAGGTCTAGCAGATTTGCACACTTGTAACTGAGATTCCAGAAAGAGAGGAGAGAGGGGGAGGAACAGAAGCAATGGCTAAAATCTTTCCAAAACTGACTGAAGACATCAAGCCACAGACTCAAGAAGTACAATGGACAATAAGCAGGATAAATCCAAAGAAAACCACATGTATGTGTATTATAACACAGGTGCTGAGAGACAAAGACAAAACATTAAAATCAGCTAGAGGGAAAAGAAAAATACTGTTCAAAGGAACAAGATAAAATGAACAACTGAATTTTTAAAGAAACAGATGAGATGCAGCAGACAAAAGGACATCTTTGAAGTGCCAAAGGAAAATCACTACTGATGCAGAATTCTGTGCCCAGCAAAAGTATCCTTTTTTAAAAAAATTAAGGCAAAATGATAACATTTCAGACAAGCAAATCAAAGGGACCCCTTCAGCCAGAAGGATAATAACTTCGTGATAATAATGTATGAATCGATGTGTGGACAACTTGGGTGATTTACAGAACAGTAACAGGAGTGACTTGTAGGGTTTTTAGTATTTGGAAGAAGGGCTGTGACGAGGGTATCTGGCGTATTCTAATGACCTTATAGTGACAAGAAAGAGGTAAGGACACTAATTTGTATTAGATTCTAATAATTCAAGGATGCACATGGTAATCTCTAGTATAATTACGAAAATAAGAAAAGTACGCCTAACTGAAATGCTGCATAAGGGAGGAAGTGGAGAAATAATTGTATTAAAAACTTTACTGTCCCATAAAAATGTAAGAAGAGAATACCAAAAAAAAGAGAGAAAATGCATCAGATGGTACAAATAAGAAAATACAATAGCAAGAGGGTCAATTTAAACTCAAATACACAATTACATTAACTGCATTCAAACTAATGAAATGAGAGAAATGGTGGGTAAATAAGGATAGCTCCGAGAGAGGAGGAGGAAAAGGACGTACAGAGGAGGACAGAGGGCAGGGAAGGGACTCAGACCTAACTCAGGGGACCGTATGAAGCCCTGACGGCGGAAGCAGTGAGGGACGAGGTCCGAGGTCCTTACCTGTCTGGGATAGCCGTTCCACACCTCCCCGAGGTCATATGCCCAAGGTTTCTGGGGGGGAAACAATAAGTTTGTCAGAATCGAAGGCTGATTCAGCAGGAATAAGCTATTCCTGATACCAGGACGGGGCAGCGTGCCCAGTAAGATGCATCTCTCCCCCCTTCCTGTTGCCCCGGGGCGTCTCTCCCTCTGTAGGTGTCATACACCCTCCTACACACACCCCTGGACTAGCAAATCCGGGACCCCAAACAGTCTTGTCTCACAGAGCAAATAATTCCAAACAAGTGCCTCTTCTAACAAAATTATTTCTGAACCGATTATACTACTGCTTCTGTAGCAATAACGTACCTTGAGATAGCTGCAGCAATAAAGTATCTCAAGAGAAATTGAGAGAATCTTGGGAGACGTCTCTACAAGCTGCCTGACTTTTCTTTTTATACGAACCATTTACTATTAAGTTTATAATCACTTAATGGGGAAATCATCTCACAGTTATTTGAACAGACACTGCAAAGTGGATATGGTAAGGGGAGATTTCGGTCTTGATGGGCGAGTAATGGAAGTCTTCATGGGACAAGGGGCATTGGATATGAGACTGGTTGGACCTTGACAGGCAGAGAAAGATGGGACGGGTCAGACATTCCCGGCAGAGGGGATACAATGTGCTGAAACCCCAAAGTGGGGTGTACCAGGTATGTTAAGTGGACTGTCAGAAGTCCAGGTTCGTTGGTGCGTGAGTTCCCTAAGTGGAAATAGGGAGAGACTGGGCTTAAAAATTCACTTTGCAGATGCAAAACTTAATGAAGGCTTTGAAAGACAGACTGCGGAGGCGCTGGAGGTTGAAAAGCTGGTTATCTTACTGAAAACGTTACAGCCTAAGGAAATCAAGGGCAGGCATTTTAAAAATGAAAGACACATTCCAATAAAAAAAAAATATCAAAAAGACAACTTACATCGTAAAGAAATGCAATTCCAGCAATAGTAATCATTAAGTAAAATGCAAAACGCCAGCTGTGGAAAGAAAGAAAAGTCTTGTAAAGGTGGCTGACGTGAAGAGAAAGACATCCGGGGGTGGCAGAGAGCGCGCACAGTCTGGGGTCGGATAACCCTGCGCGGGGGTCTCCACTGTGCCTCTCATTTATCAGACGGCGGGAACTTCAGGGAAGTCACTTAACCTAGGGGGCCTTAACTTCTTCATCTGTACAATGGAAACAACACCACTTACCTCAAAATGTAAAAAGAACTCAAAACAGTTGATGAAAAATACTGATCATAGTGTCTAGTATGAAGTAAGCAACAATAAGTGGCAGTTTATTATTTATTATTATTATTATCATTATTATTAGCCCAGTTCCTGACACACAATAAATGATGATTTGATGTTACGAGTATGAAATCCTTTATTTCATCCCCATTTAATTCCCAGTGAAAAGATTCCTGTGGGGACAGACGTTTTGGTCTTGCCTCTGGAAAGTATATTTTGAAACAAGACCCTTTTCTCAAGTTTGGAGAAAGACCTATAAACTAAGACACTTAAAACACATATCACCCGATGGTAACTCATGGATCTTGTTTGGATCCTGATTCAAATAAACAAACTGTAAAGAAGACTTGAGACAGTTGAGGAAAAATGAACACATTGAGTATTGGCTGCTGTCAAATGATTGTTTTATGTAATGATGCCGGCACTGCAGACATGTCTAAAGCTACTGCGGCGTATCTCTTTCAGAGCTGTATATATATCAAAGTACTTCCAGATAAAAGCATACATGTCTGATATGTGCTTCAAAAGTGATCTTTAATAATAAATGGATGAAGGCAGTCAAAGGGGCAAACTTCTAGTTATAAGATAAATAAGTACTGGGGATGTACTGTACAGTAGGGTGACGCAGGTTAACACTGCTGTATAGTATATTTGAAAGTTTCTGAGAGTCGATCCTGAAAGTTCTCATCACAAGCCTGGCCGGTGTGGCTCAGTGGTGGAGCATCGACCCCTGCACCAAGAGGTCACCGGTTCGATTCCCGGTCAGAGCACATGCCCAGGTTGTGGGTCCCATCCCCAGTGGGGGGCATGCAGGAGGTGGCCAATCATTCTCTCTCATCGATATTTCCATCTCTCTCTCCCTCTCCCTTCCTCTCTCTAAAATCAATAAAAAGAAAAATATTTTTTTAAAGTTCTCATCACAAGGAAAAAAACTTTTCTTTTTTTTTTCTATCTAAGAAACGACACATGGTAACTAAACTTGTGGCAATCATTTCAAAGTGTACGTACGCCGAGCCCATACACTGTCTACTTGGACGCGCACTGTGTGCTGCATGTCAATCATATCTCAGTGGGGCTGAGGAAAACACAACCTACAAAAGCACCAGGTGGGGGAGGAGGGCAGGTGGGGACGCAGGACTGGCCTGAGCTGATGATTATGAAAGCTGTGATGGGTAGGTATGTAACACACACAGTTCATTCTGCTGTCTGCTCTTGTAATTGTTTACAGTTTTGCAAAGCAGAATTGTTTTAATTACTGCTATGCTATCTAATGATCGCTGAAGCAACGGCAGAATATTAGAAAAGACGTCTGTTCCTTAGTTTGTATACTGCCTTACAGCTCTTTCAGCAGGAGGCCCGCGTGGACTGAGGAGGAGGAACGAGGGCGTGGCTCCACTTTGCAGCCGGCAACCGGGCTGTTTCCCGGCGCACGAGGCTGGGCAGCGCCGGCTGAGGCAGACGCACAGGTCTTTGGACTCTGAGCCCAGCAGTGTCTCCTAAACACTGTCACATCAGCTTGATGAACAGCTGTCCTTCATGGCTTGTTTTGATAGAGAGAGAAAAGTAGGATTCAGCTGCTCAGAAAGTTCAACCACAGAAACGCCCAAAGGGCACTTTATAAAGCGAGCTGGTTGGGACCTGTTCCCACGCCTCCCTTGCGGCTGGTCCCGTGAAGCCCACACAGACGCCAAGGGCATTTCCTCCGCTGCCTGATGATCTCAGCCGAACAGGAAGCACAAGAACGAGGAGGGGTGAGACCTGCCGGCCCCAAAGGGAGCTGTAAGCCAGGTGGCAGGGCTCCTAGTCTGTTTCTCAAATAACTGACCTCTTGACCCCGTGCCAAGCACTGTGCTGAGCACACGTGCCCCGTGTCAGCAAGCTCACGAAGTAGGTGCCTGGTTCCCACAGGTAGACACCGTGAGCACGGAAGGACACTGAGGCCGAGGGACATCCAGAGCTCACCCAGGGCTGTGCGGAGACATTCGGACCCACGAGTAAAACCCAAGTCTACCTCTTTTAGATCCGTCCTAGCAGGTTTCATGGCACTATGCTAGGGGTTCTCAAAGTGTGTGCCCCGGGCCCCTGACGTCAGACTGTTTTCAGAGTAACACTGAAACACGATTTGCCCTTGCTCACCCCTCACAGGGTGCAGAGGACACCTCCAGAGGGTCCACGACATGAGGAGCCATCGCTCTGACAGCTAGTGACACGTTCCCTGAGGTCCCACGTGTCAGAAGGGTCTCCATTGTCATCTCTAGCCATGTGATCACCAGTAGGTGTGACACGCACAAGCAAATGCTCTTGGGGTCTGTATTAGCTTTGAAGAGAACAAAGGGGCCCGGAGCCAGGAAGTTTGAGGACAGCTACCCTTCCCCAAGAACAAGGTGAGTGAGGACCCACTTCTCAATGCCTTCACACTGCTTCCAATGAACCTGTTTATTTATTTTTCCAGGCAAGGCTGAGTTTTAAAAAACTGCGTGTCAGGGGGTGGGGGCAGAGAGCTCCTGGAAAATAATCCAGAAACTGACAAGTCAGGCAGCCATGGTAATGCTGAAAGATGAGACTGCAGGGTCAAGTCAGAGGAACCGGACAGTGAACCTGGACCCACGGTGGGCGGGGCTGCAGACAGGGGCTAGGGTGGGCGGGACTACAGACAGGGGCTAGGGTGGGAGGGGCTGCAGTCAGGGGCTAGGGTGGGAGGGGCTGCAGACAGGGGCTAGGGTGGGAGGGGCTGCAGACAGGGGCTAGGGTGGGCGGGGCTGCTGAGAAGGCAGCAGATCTGCCCTGGGCCAACTCCTCCCTCTGGACTGGGGGATTGGACATTACAGTTTTTTGTTTGTTTGTTTGTTTTTTATCCTCACCCTAGGACGATTTTGCATTTATCTTCAGATACAGCAGAAGGGAGAGAGGGCAGGAGAGAGAGAAACATCGATGTGAGAGAGACACATTGACTGGGAGCCACCCCCATGACCCCAACCGGGGCTGAGGATGAACTGCGACTGAGGCACATGCCCTTAGTGAAAACCAAACCTGGGACTCTGGTCCGCGGGCCGACGCTCTAACCACTGAGCAAAACCGGCCAGGGCGATTACAGGTACTTTTTATAGTAAACTGCTCACTGCTAAACGAAAATGCTTATTTTAAAAAGAGAAGTGATGAGCCAATGTGGAATTTGATTAAAAAATAAAGGATCCTCTGTGGGTCAAAATCCTTAAATGCTGTGAAACAGAGTTTAGGGACCGTCGTTAAAGAAAGTAACCAAGTAAATAATTCACTGAACTTAAGGGGTTGCAGCTAATACCTCCTGACATGCAGAGGAGCTCTGCCCCTTGGGGAGTGGTTTGAAGAACTTGGTGTGGGGTGGGTGAATTCCCCGAGACGTCCTCAAAGCCCGGGGCCAGGCGTCTCCTGCTAAGATCACAGAGACACCCAGGGGTACATAGGGCAGTCCCTACACTGAACAGCTGGGCATTTCTCTTGAGTCTGCTTAGTTCACAACGACTCTTAACAGCTCTTTGAATGAGAGAAAAGGCTGTGACATTGCTAAAGAAGAAGATAAAACTTCAGTGGGTGAGGGGCCACCCCGTTTCCTGGGTACTTGTATCATCCCCCGTTTCGTGCCTCGGCCTTACTTGAAACAAACTACCTTCCGCTCTGCCTTCTTTTCTCGGGTCAATCTGGCCCCTCCTCAGGGTCCAGCTGACGTCTGGCCTCCTCCAAAAAGCCTTCCTCTGTCGTATGCAGCTCCTCCGACAGCTCACGCGCGTCTAAACGTGGCCGTGGACAGCAGGTGGACAGGCCCCCTGCCACTGGGCTGGAGTAACCACAGACAGCGCTGAGGGCCTGTGACCACGCCTTCCACTTTCACTTCCTCTCAAAATCCAGGGCTCCGCCCAGTGTCGGACAGGACCACGGACAGAGAAGACAGACAGTCAGCATGACCCTCTGCATCGCGGACGGATGAGGGCGACCTGAGGTTCCCTTGTGCCTGGGCTGCGGCCAACGTTCATTAAACTCACTGACGGCCAGATTCCCCAGCGCTGGACCCCGTGATCCAGTCACCTGACACAGTGCCCCCTCGCCCACGTGCCAAGAGGAGCAGCATCTGGCGGGGAGCACAGTGCCCAGGAGAGCCTCAGAAAGGGAGCTGGAGGAACTCCGCGCAACAGCCCAGCAACAGCCAGGTGACCTTGAGCACACTCCTTAAACCAGACGGACGTGTAGCTTCGCGTTCCTCAAACAGGGCTGGCCCACCCCCCTGCCCGCCTCACCCTGTCGCTGGAGGATCAATCAGAGATTACTTATAGACTGCAGACCCTGTGGTGTATGAGAAGTCGCCAGAATTTCACTGGGGTAGGAGCCAGCTCGCGGCGGAGAACCAGCCCCTGCCTGGGGACTTCAGGCCCAGACCCACGAGCCAGAAGGCATGAATGGAGCTCCGCTCTGCACTGCTCCGTGCTGTGGCTCAGAGGTGCCAGGCTCACGTCGCCGGCGCAAACATTCCCCAGTCTCGTAGGCGCTGAACTTCAGAGAGAAGCAGAGAGAAGCAAACCCGGCCATACACCTCTGCCCACAGGGGAGGGGTGGACGCTTGTGATGAGAAGTGAGTGTCAGCTGAAGACCCGGTCTGTGCCTCTGAACTCGGCCAGGCTCCCCGCTGGGTGGCAGGGCCCGAAGGCACAGGTCAGTTACAGGGAGCCATTAAAGCTTTGCCTCCCAAGGTCTCTGCTTGTTTTTCATTCTGCACTGATTTTAGAGAGTGAGGAAGGGAGAAATTGGGCGAGATGGAAACATCGATGAGAGAGAACATTGACTGGCACGCCCCCCACTGGGGATTTGGCCCATGGCCTGGGCATGTGCCCTGACCGGGAATCGAACCGGCGACCTCTTGGTGCAGGGGTCGATGCTCCACCACTGAGCCACACCAGCCGGGCTCTGCTTGTTTATTTGGGTCTAATATCAGCTCCTTATCCATTTCATGATCAAAACAAAAAATGTCTCTTGAAAGTCACAGGCGATGTGAGGACTCAAGGGACGGGCAGGAAGGAACACGGCTGGTGTGCAGAACGTGGCATCAGACACGCCACTCACCCCTCGTCTGGACGGAGGGGGGAGGAACAAGGAAGGCCAAGGTGTCAGTTTCTGCCACCAAGGGCCTAGAGGACTACAATATTCTGCAGAAGAGGAAAACAAACAGACAAATGGATCCTCTCAAGTGAAACCAAAAATAAGTTAGTGCAGCTCCCTGTGCTCAGAACACAGCCAAGTCGCCGGCTCCGGCAGGTTCCTACGTGGTGCTGCAGCCCATTCTGACCCCCCTGCCAAGCCAACAGGTGAACCCGCAGGAACCGGGCGCCCCGTCCACAGGCAGGGGTGGGGGATGGGCCTTCTCAGTGCTGGGAGGGGGGACCGACACTCTGCCCTCCAGTGTGATGTAACAGCTGCAGTGTGATTGCAGACAAGAGAGCACATCTTGTGAACTAGGGCCAACCTCACCCCGACCCTAGAGAAAATAAACACCACTTAAGACATTTTTATGATTTTTCTGGACTTCAAGATAAGTACATAATATCTCCGGCTCATCCTAGAGCAGCGGATCTCAACTTGTGGGTCGCAACCCCTTTAGGGGTCGAACGACCCTCTCACAGGGGTCCCCTAAGACATAACAGTAGCAAAATTACAGTCATGAAGTAGCAACAAAAATAACTTTATGGTTGGGGGTCACCACAACATGAGGAACAGTATTAAAGGGTCGCGGCATCAGGAAGGTTGAGGACCACTGTCCTAGGGGGTTCAGAGTCTGTCCCGTTGCAGAGAAGGGAACTGAAGTACAACAGCTAAGGGACAGAGCTGGGTGCGAACCCTTTGGCTCTAAGCTCAGGACTCTTCCTGAGATGACTGCTCTGCTCCGTATAAAACTGTAGCGTTTCGAAAGCGGGGACTGTCCTTCTTACCAAGCTTCCTGGAATTTCTTCATCCTGCAGGGCCTCTCTTGATTCCGCCGACTCCGAAACCATCTCTCCACCTGGCGCTCCGTCAAGTTGCACTTCTTCGCCAGTCCATAAACATCATCCTGCCAAGGGATGAAATGGATGAATGAGTGATAAAGAGCAGAGCTGGACTGGCAGGCAGTCAAGAGACAGCGAGATCAGATCACAAGAGCCTGTGCACTGGAGAGAAGAGGGATTCTGCACTTGAACCTGAGCCAGAGAATTTACCTTTGGGCTGATGGAGTCACACACACACACGCCATACCAAAAAATAAAAAATAAAATAATACACAAACAAACAGAGAGGGTGGTAGTAGCTGGAACTCTGAGTTACTAACAGAGATCAATTCTCCGTACGCTGGCAGCAACCCACAGGTTCAAGCTGCATACGTAGGCTGACTCGTTCAGCTCGGCTTTGCTTAGGGCCTCGGGACCAGGTAGAATAATACGGCTTAACCTGTCGATCAAACCCAATCTCTTCATTTTTCTGATGAGGAAACAGGAACACTGAGAGCTTAGCAATTGCACAAGACCTGAGATTAGCCGCAGAGTGAGGACCGGACCTCGGGCCCGTGCGCATTCTGTTATTTCACATAATCCGGAAGACGGTGCAGGAAGGACCCACACGGGTGCTGGCCACCACCTCCCATTTCATCAGACAGAGGCCTATCCACACAGCTGGGAAATACCTCCGGCATGAAAATGACGGCCGCAGAATACGGCTTCTCTTCTGGGAGGCAGAAGTTGTAGGTTATGATTTACGGTTGGAAACTTTATGAAAAACGGATCAGGTCAGAGGTCACAGACTGGAAGCTCTGTAGATGCGTAGCCTTGAGCGCTGTACTCTGACCCTGTGCGCCATGGGGTGGAGCAATGGTCAGAGGACGGGGGCTCCCAGATGTGAACCTGGCATGTGGACTGTCACGTGCGGTGGCAGTGCTGGGGGGAAGGGCTGAAACCCATCAAGGGGACCACAGACAAACCCATCACAGAGAAAGTGTTCCTTTTCTTCTAAAATAATCTGCAAACATGAACAGCTATGCCCCCCGACAGCGGCCGTGACTCCAACCCTGTTGCTTGGTGCATAGCAGGACACATTCTAAAATGCACGGCACGACTATTCTATACATTCTCAGACGGAAGGGGCTCCGAGTCTGGCTGGACTGGTTGAAATGCTTTATTCATTCAATCACTCAAAAAGATTCAGTGAGCCTCTGCCCACAAGGGCCAAGCGCTGTTCTAGGCACTGGCGATTTAGCAGGGAGCCGAAGTCCCTGCCCTCACACTGGCGCGCTCTCAGATCTGAGAGCAAACCCATTTTATTATCCCGGCATGTCTACAGACGTCTGCTGAAGAAATGCATCCAGAAGATGCAATCAAACACGATCGAAGTGAGTCTTGGCAATGCGGGCTCATCCACTACACTGTTACTGGTGGGGGCGGGGGGAGTCCCCTTGCAACAAGTCTGCAGACATGTTTTTCTTTTGTTAATACACGACACGAGCGCTTGCCCAACACCAATAATGCACAGAAGACTGTGCCAGACGTTCCGGAAACCAAGCGTAACGAAGAAACAAATGCTGTTCCCTGGAGAAGATGTGAGTTGTGAAGACATGTTCAGGAACACTCCTGTGGAAGTCGGCGTGAGAGGGACAGACACAGTCACAACAGCTGACTGTCACTGAGCCTCTGCTCTGGGTCAGGCACTATTCCAAGGGCTCAGTTCAGTCCTCATGACAGCCCCGTGAGATAAGTGTTATCCTCATGCTCCATTCACAGAGGGGAAACTGAGGCACAGAGCAGCTCATCTGCTGACCTGCACACACAGCCAGCAGCAGAGCCAGGGTCTGGCCCATGCCATCCGTCCTCACAATGTGTACCTTCAGCTCCCACACTGGAGGCCTCTAGAAGAAGCAGTATAGCCTGGAGGAAGGTCCTCAGTGGGGGCCCAGAGACCTGGCTCCTTGCCTGAGGAACAAACTCTCTGGGCGTGCCGAGGGGTGACCCCACCTCCTTGGCTCTCACATGTCTCACCTGGAGAGCAAACTGAACTAGAGAGCGTTCTGCTCTGAGGAGTCTGCATCCGCGGATGAGACAGGCTAGCAAACCGGAATGCCTTCCTGAACCACAGTAACGGTTGCCTTAGATCTCTTCTAGGGTGACACTTATTTCTTCTGCATCAGTTCTCACTGTGGTTTTGCTGAGGGAAAGGGCTAGATAATAAGTTCTTCCATTACCCCTTTTTATCAATAGCAGCATAATTGATCTGTTGGCCAGAGCCGTTGGTCCGTTAGCATGGCTCACTCCCAGTACATCTTGAAGTTGTTACTGAGACAGAGAGACATACACACGCATATGAATAATGGACACACAGCTGCGTACACACAGGCACAAAGGAATGGTGCGAAATCACAGCTCACAGCTCTCAGGGAGAGTTGATGCGCACAGTGTTTGGGGGCCAAAGCAAGACCGTGTTATACCCTTCTGTGATAACCAGCCCGAATCAATGCTGTGCACACTGAGATATTTCTGACTTTATGGGTGCAGAAGCAACGGAATTCAGCAAATAAAGTTCAGGACCTGAAAACGCCATCCATCCTAAAACCATGTCAGCATACACTCTTGACTTTTAAACTCGCTGGTGACAACTGTCTGCATTCGTCCTAGAGGGTGTGCCATTTTTGGAGAAGTTTTTTCATTTGATCTCTCACTTAAATTCGGAGGTATAAAGAAACTAGACCTGCCTGGACACTATTTTTTTAAACTTATTAGATTAAAAGTTGTTCTATGGTATATAAACCTACAGCACACTACAACATTTCACGAGGGACATCCTGCATTGGGAAGGGAAGCGTGACTCCAAAAAGTCTACGTCTAGGGACCAAGCAGAAGCACAGTGTGTTTCTGAGTGTGTTGAGGCCTTAGATAAAAGTGTCCTTCACACGACAGCCACACAACAGACACTTTCACACTGCATGTGATGTACACTGATGTTGCCATAGTCATCAAAAGTGTCAGTGATGGGCCACCCTGCCTCAATAATGATCTTTTTTTTTTTAAATCAGTAACATTGGCTCTGGCCGGTTTGGCTCAGCGGTTAGAGCGTTGGCCTGCGGTCCAGAGAGACCCGGGTTCAGTTCCCGCTAAGGGCACGTACCTCAGTTGCAGTTTGTCCCCGGTCCTGGTTGGGTCGTGCGGGTGGCAGCCACTCGATGTGTCCCTTTCACGTCGATGTTTCTCTCTCTCTCTCTCCCTCACACTCTATCTGAACAAAATATGGAAAAATGTCCTTGGGTGAGGATTTAAAAAATAAAATAAAATAAATCAGTACACATTGTATATATCCTATCATTAAAAACTAAATTTTGATCTCCATACTGAAGTTATGCCATTAATTGTTAGTGTTCAACATTAGAGTTGTACAGGATAGTTCAACTCTTAGCATTCGTTATTTTACATCACAATGTTTATTTGTCATTTTATATTATGCTTGGAATGCTATGCAACCAGTCAATAGAGGGAAAAAATTCAAATGACTCAAATCATTTGCCAGTTAACTGAAACAGACTGACCGTGCAGATGAGGTGAGCCACAGGTGACTGAAATATTAAGATTCTTTTTTAAAAAATTTTTTTCTTTAATTATTTTTATTAATTTGTTTGTGTTACAGATGTCTCTCCTTTTTCCTCCATTAACACCCTCCTCCCCATCCCTCCCACCCCGTCCCCGGTTTTGTTGTCCATGTCCATTGGTCATGCACACATGCATGTAAGTTCTGTGGTTTTTCTCTTCCCTCCCAACACCCCTCTTCTGGGGTTTGTCAGTCTGTACCCTACCTCTATGTCTCTGGGTCAATTTTGTTCATCAGTTAAAAAATATTTTTCTTTATTGATTTTAGAGAAAGAGGCAAAGAGGGACAAAAACATGGATGAGAGAGAACATTGATTGGCAGCCTCCTGCATGCCCCGCACTGGGGATCGAGCCCACAACCTGGGCATGTGCCCTGACTGGGAATCGAAGCGGTGACCTCGGTGCATGGGTCGATGCTCAACCACTGAGCCATGGGGACTGGGCTTAAGAAAGATTCTTAAATCCCAAAACAAAGAGTTTGTACTTACTTGTGATGGTTGCCTCGTAGAGTATTTGAAAAACTTCTCTAAGACAGGGTTTGGTACAATCTTCCGGACTTCCTCTTCGATGCCAACTGCCTTCGCTAGAGGTGTGGCAATAAGTCTACAAAAACATGAGAGAGTAGTTCAGATTCTGACGGTGAACCCACAAGGACACCGGGATACTCAGGGTGCAACTTGAGACCCCTTATGAAAGCTCATTCTTTGGTCCATGTTGTCACTGAACTACCCAGAGCCAGATCCCTCTGCCTTGCAGAAGTTCAAGGAGAACATATTTCGAGACATTTTATACAAGCAGTAACTTAAAAAAAAAAAAAAAAAATACTGGCACAGTTCCTTAGAGTCCATTTTATGCAAATCCACATATATTTATACACAAGATCCAGGAATTGGGGTAAACCATTCCACTTAGAGCTTTATTTTTAAGATTCCCAGAGATTACAATAAATAAAAGTTTTGACAGTAAAAGTTTTACTTGGTGATGTTACCTTACAAAGATTACTGTGTTCCTCTTTGAAGTTCTAACTTAAGAATATGTCATACTCTTGGGTAAATGTCTAGGAATGGGAACAATGCGTGGTGTGGCAAAGATGCTTAACTTTATGAGAAACTAGCACATTGTTTTCCAAAGTGGTTGTACAATTTCGCATCCCAACCAATAACGTGCCAGAGTTCCAGTTACTCTGTATCCCTGCCAACACTTGGTATTGACAATCTTTTCAATTTCAGCCATTTTACTGGGGGGTGTAGTGGTTTTCATTGATTTTTTTTTTAAACTGTAACATTTATTATTTCTTAACTTCTATTTGTTATAAGTTTTGTTTGCTCTCCTTTTTTCTTCCAGTCCCTCTAAAGTAGAAGGTTAGATTATTGATCTGAGATCTTTCTATAGCTCTACGTTTGTTTATAGCTCTACGTTTCCCTTGAAGCACTGCTTTTGCTGTATCCCATAAATTTTGGTGTTTTCTTTTGCACTCACCTCAAAGCATTTTTTAATTTACCTTGTGATTTCTCCTCTGACCCATTGGTTATTTAGAAGTGTGCTGTTTAATTTCCAAATATTTGCTAATTTCCCAATTTCCTTGTTAGTATTTTTTATTTCATTTTGTTGTGGTCAGAAAACGTATCTTGTACGATTTCAGTCTGTTTACATGTATTGAGACTTGTTTTGCGGCTTAACATATGGTCCATTCTGGAGAATATTCCTGTGCTCATGAGAAGAACGTGTATTCTGCTGTTATGGGGTGGTGTGTTACATATATGTCTATCAGATTGATTTGAATTACAGCATTGATCAAGTCTTCTATTTCATTCATCTTTTGCGTAGAAGGCAGTTGACAACTCTGTCTTAGCCTTCACTTCCAAGCTGCACAAAGCTCAAGGTCATTCAGAGGTAAGAGCTTAGAGCCTTGCCAGGTTTTTCCTGAACATGTGGCCAGCCCTGGGCATGCCCAAAGCTCTACAAGTTCAAGTAGCCTCTGATTTCCAATATGTCATAGCTTTTCAAAGCCCCTATGGACATTCTGTTCTCCAGCTAAGCTTTCCCGAAGTTAATAAACGGCCTCTAATTGTTTTAGACAAACACACCCAAGGAAAAGGTTTTCCTCACTGGGAAGTCCTCAGTCAGGTCACATAAAGACAGCCTCGTGAGTAGTGTCTTCCAGAGAACCAGTGGACAGTCAGATGGTGACAGCTCTCTGGTCATGATGCTCTAAAGAGTCCCAGCTCCGTTCTGCTCCCTTCCATGGCTGCAATGCTGCTGGTTGCCACTGGAATTGTGGGCTGCTGGCTGTTCAAGGCTATCACAGAGGTGCACAGGGCTAGCTATGAATGGGGAAAGTTACACCACCACAAAGCTCGCTGCTTTTGTCCAAGAGCCAGCTCTTTTTCTTAAATAACACTCCCTTAATCGCAGCAAGCCTCTGGTTAATTCTGAATTTTGAAAAGTTAATTTTGACAGTATTTGTTAGTTGTGGGGTTTTTTTATGTTTTTATTTTTATTTTTTATTTTAGAGCGAGGGGAAGGGAGAGAGAGAGATAGAAACATCGATCAGCTGCCTCATGCGTGCCCCACTGGGGATGTAGCCCGCAACCTCCAAAATGTGCACTGATTGGGAATTGAACCTGTGACCTCTTGGGTCATGGGATGATGCTCAACTAACTGAGCCAATACAGGCCACGGCTATTAGTTTTCTGATTATTTTTATGGAGAGGGTTTTCAAAGGTCCTTAACCTCCAATGTGTAGTGGTTTTAATTTGCATTTTGCTAAGTACTATGTTAAACGTCTTTTATATGTTTACTTGCCATTTATATATCTTCTTTGGTAAAGTATCTGCTAAAACCTTTTGCCCATTTTTAAAATCAGTATTTCTTTGTTTATCATTGAGTTATATAAGTTCTTTATATGTTCTGAATTTAAGTCCTTTCGCAGATACATGTTTTTGATAAATTTTCTCCCAGTCTATGGTCTGTCTTTGCATTTTATTTATATCTTTTTAAAATAACTATTAAGACCCTTCTTGCATTCTTTTCAATCATACTATTCAGTGATTTTTTTTTTTTTTAAAGAATATTCACCAAGTTGTACAATCGTCACCACGCATGGGCTTTAGAATATTTTCATCACCCCCATAGGACTCCTCCTGCGTATTTACTGCCGATCCCTGTTCTCTCTCACCACCACCCTGGGTAGTCACCAATCCATCTTCTGTCTTCACAGCTTCGACTTCTGGCTGTTAGAGACAATGCACTTGCAGAATACGTGTTGCTCGTTTCTGGCTTCCTCCACTGGGCCTGATGTTGAGGTCCACCCATGAATTTGGATGTATTTAGAGTTCATTCATTTTTCTAGCTCACTAATAATTCATCGTACAGATATGCAAACATTAATAACGTCTTTTGAAGAGCATTTTAGCTATTTATCAAAAGAAAGAAAAGCACGCACACCCATACAAATTCTTGTGCTCGGATGTTCGCAGCAGCTCTATTTGTAATAGCCAAATATTGTAAACAATCACATTTCCATCAACTAGTCAGAGGATAAATTAATTGTGGCATATCAATACACTGAAGGGCTACCCAGCAATGGCGAGGAATCAGTATACCTACATTATAACAATGTGGCGAAAATCCCAAAGCTCTATGCTAAGTGACACAAAAGCTTCTAATCTGTGTGATTCCGTTCATAGGAAATCCAGAAAGGGCAACATTATACTGTCAGACGCATGTCAGTGATTACCAGGAGCTAGTCTTTAGGGAGGAGACGAACTGAATGGGGGACCAGCTGATGTCAATCTCCTGTATCATAACTGTGCTGATGGTTACATGACTTAAGCATTTGTCACATTTTAGGTGAACTTCATTGTAAATCACATCTCAATTGAATGGATTTTTAAAAACAATAATAGGTTCCTACTCTTCCTTCAGTTCTAACAAAGGCTCCATGTCCTGCCAGGTCAGTCTATTCTTCTACTTAGTAGTTTCTGTGTTTGATTAAATGCTGGAAATTTTAGTTATGAATGATCATTTAGCCCTTCAATTCATTTTTTATAACCATGGGAGCTGAATAAAAATTTCCTGAGATAATCTGATAAAATGTATAAACCAATCCAACTTCCAGATGGACCGAGTGCTCCTGGATACGGCCCATGCATTTCAGAGACACGTGAAAACAAGTGAGTGATGAACCAGGTGGTGCGCAGAGCGATGTGGATAGGTCATAAAACACAGCGCATACTTAAAGAAATGGAGAAGAAGAAACAGAGCAAGGTCTTATCACCCATACCACATGTCAATTGGCAATACGCACCATTTATGTTTATGCACATGTTTCACGGGGTCATACAAACAAAAGCCATCCAGAACACGAGAACCCAGCAGGGAGGGCAATGGGACAATGAAATGGGGATAAAAGGTAATTGGTGGAAAAGTTCATTCCAATCCATCAATCAAAAGAGGTCTCACACAGACCAAAGACAGCATGCTATGATTTGAGAAATATGATTGATTAGTTCCCCCTTTGCATAAAAGGTCCAAATAAAACAAAAATTAAGATGTTCTTAAAACTAGCAAAGTCTCAAAAAAAAAAAAAAAAAAAACCAAAACATATCTGACAGGGTTTTGGATAAGTAACGGAATTGGTTCATCTACCCAACCTACTAGTTGAAAATCTTTATTGGAGAACACATTCATTGTTTTACTAGTAGAACAACACAAATACAAAATGGTTTAATATGGTAGTGTTCTCAATCATAATCACTCAGTGCTATCTCCTCAACTGTTAGAAATGAAGAAATTAGAAAAAAATGAGAAAGCAAAGCAGAGCTGAGCCAAGAAGACTTATGCAGTGAGGGAAGGCAGCCAACCTCCGCGCCAAACGAATATAGCATTCCCTCTGCAGGGTCATGTGAGAGTAAGTATGTGGTTAAGTATACACAGTGGATAAACATCCATCCATAGCATACTTGCTGATATGAGAAACATATCTATATTAATTTAAACAAGAAAGAAATATGGTCTTGTTTTTCAACATGTCCAGGCTCTGAGTTCAGATACAACATTTTCCATAGAACAGAGAAAAGAAATACACGGAGTTTTCTCCTTCAGCATTGCTCTTTCTTGTCAAATAAATCTAGAAAATCAATCACTGCACCCAGTGTGAGTGTGAGTAAGTAGGACTATGCACTTTATTGAAAATCTCTGTTGGAAAAGGAGAGACAAAAGCAGCACAATAAATGTCTGATGCACTGAACTGCAAACAGAAGGGAAATGGCAGGTCTATGCTCTGGAAGCACCTTCGAGATGAGCTGGCCGGAGCTTCCATTTTATCGATATGGAATAGAAAAAAGTCCAAGGGGGAGAAAAAAAAAAAGTGAACCTCTGCTCCCATGGAAACGGTTCCAAGTGAGGTGAATTACCAGGACAGGGTCTCTCAGGTTTGCTCCTGCCGCAGAACCGAACCTTCTGACGGCCCGGTCCAGGTACCCCAGGAGCCCCTTCTCTATCTGGCAACGTATCAGTTACCTGTGAGCCAAAAGCCTTGCAATTCCAGATGTCGCCCCATTTTTCAATATTGTTTTATTGAACAAAAGGCAGGCGGGCCCAGGCAGATATTAAGCATGTGGAGTCTGAATACTTCTAAACAGGAACAATAGCCTGCTGGCGTCTGCTTGCTCCCCTGTTCCTGAGGTTCAAAGGCTCTTTGACGGGATTTCATATGAGGAAACCAAGTATCGGGAGCAATGCATATTTGGAGACTGTTTCAAATGAGGACAGTGACAATCCTTTCAAACTCCTGCGCGCTGCCCCCACCCTTCCCTGGGGGTGATGGGCACCCCAGTCCGTCGTGTCTGCGTGGCTGGGCAGACGCGGCAGCGGTGGGCCATGTAGTCGGCGTACAGCTAAGTGAAAGAAACAGATGATCTAGTTTCACCAACTCCACCACTCTTCTGGGAACATAACCGACTCTGAGATAATGTGTTTATTCCACACGTGTTTAAATTTGAGTAGCTCAGCTCGCCCTTTAAATTACACTTCTGACGCATAGAAGAGTCTGCATACGCTAGTTAGAAACTGCCATTCTAGACTTCAGAACCAACAAAACAAAACAAAAAACGTAAGCCACAAACGAAAGTTTGTAAGGAAAGGAGATCCTAAAATACGAAGCGAATGTCGGTCACTTTCAAATGACCTGCTTGTTTGTCCCTGGTCAGTTCTGTCCCTGCTCTGCCCTCAGCCCGGAAGGGGCGGGGCCTCTCCTCCTGCCTGTGATGGCTCCTGGCCAGGACCAAAGGGTGGGAATAAGCAGCCAAGTCCTGTCACCATTCCTAGGACAGAAGAAGGAAGCTTTCTTGTGCTCAACATTTCATAGGATACGCTGAAATGTCGTGTCAACTTGACATGACTTTTTAAGATCAGAAAATGTCACATTTGCTATCAACCCATTAGGCTGTGTCTTCTGTGTTCCTAAGAAATATTAATTTACTCTCTTTTGCCATCAGGGGTATCGCACTGTGAGAGTACAAGAGGCACTGGTATGGGGACGACAGAAAACCAGCAACCCTGAACCTGGCGTCACAACACCTGGGTTCAGGTCCCAAATGCACTCCTTACATACTTTCTGTTTGCGCTTGGTCAGGTCACTTGCCTCTCGTTTTCTCCACTGAGATTGTACCATTTGTGATTCTATAAACCTCTTAAACTCTAAGTTTCTACTCAAATGCAAGATGTCAGTAATATTTTATTTATGATCTAAGTGGTTTAATCTAATACAAATGACACACAAGCCCTGGAAAAAAAATATAAACGTATTCTTTAAAAAGCACGACTGCTCTCCCGTGTTAACTTTCCCTCACTAACGCTGCGTTAAAAGACATAGGAGATTAGCAGAGCAGCACACAGTGTCCGCGGTGTCACAGAACGGGAAGAGCTCAGGGTGAGTTACTGGGAGTTCAAGTTATAAAGACAGATAAGGTGGTGCTGACTCAGTCCCTCGAGAAGCATCAACACTGGTCCAGGGAATTAAAGGAGGACTGGATCCCGTCCTAATTGTTGTTGGCAAGGCCAAGACCTACACTAACAAGCTGGTCCTCCACAGCTGTGCTGCTTTGGCAACCAAGAGGATTTTCTAATTCACTGTCCTGATCAGAACATTAAAAATGGAGCTGTCCACCAAAAATGTAGGAAATCTGCAATGCAAATCAGTAGAGGACCTGGATGCCAAATTCAAAGATCACCGGACACGATGCAAAAAAGCAAGCATTTCAGGCTGGAAAAGGCTAGTTTGCTAATTTGGTAGAGCAGTGGCAAAATTCTACTTTATTTATTTATGCATTCTTTGACAAATCCAAAGACATGAGTAAAAAGTAGAATTAACTGTCAAAAAGGAAAAACATTTTCAAATGTCCTCAGCTAGGGTTTAGTGGTATCCGGGGGCCTTCTCTTTCTCCCCATAGAAACAGCACACTGTTGGCCCAAGTGAAGTTGCTGTCTGAACAGAAACCTTTTGGAGAGTCCGTGAAACAGAGGTGGTCAAACTAACTCTGGAGATAAAGCCCCTGCAAATGGTTATACACATATGATCTGCATTACGGTTAGTCTTGGACAAAACAGTATCAGATTTTGTCTTAAGTTTTTCCAACTCTTCACATTCAAATATTCTTTTTGCTCCAAAAAAATAATGTGCTAATAACAGTTTTTTGAAATAGAGACAAGTCCAGAGATTATAGATGAACATTTATCTCCTGTTATCATAACACTAATGCAGTTTTAATAAAAAGACTGGAAGTACTATCTATTTAAATTAAATTAAGAAAAAAGAAAAGAAGCTTACTTTTTCTGAGAAAGCAAATTTATATTTTGCCTTTGATTTCCTTTAACTTTGGAATGAAGGGCTGCTATTGAAACTCTCAATGGATCTTTAAAATAAACCATGTGATAAAGCAATATTAAGTTTGGTCTTTAATGAGCCATTTTTGCTGTTTTAGAGGCATTCTGAAGTGAGAATGCACCCCCTAATCACAGCCTCTCTATCACTGCCTTTCTGAGGTGCATGTTCTTTGTCACCCACCATGGTGCATGGAGGGTGAACTGGGTCTCCACGCTGTCACTGACTCGAATAAGCCCTGGGATGCTTAACCTCTCAATCTCAAGTTTCTCCATGGCAAAACTAAAGCATTGTTTCTAATTTTATCTGCTCAGCTCCTAGATAACATTTGGTGTGCATCTGATTTCATGCGCTCCCCCAAGAATCTGCAGCCCAGCAGTGGCCACCTGTGAACAGCTTCTTCAAGGGTCGCACCAAGATTCTATCATTCCAAAGTGGCGACAAGCAAGGGGCATGGAGAGGGAAGACACACAGACAGTACTTACTTTTCAAAGATGTGTCTGATAATCAGCAAGCCAAAAGCATATGGAATTGTCATATACAAATGGGAGGGCTTTACAAAGACGAGTCCGTCGTGATCTTCGAGATCCGACCACTTTATTGCTGGAGGGAGCCAGAACCTTTCCAACCAAAACCAGTCCTTAAACGTCTGAAACATTCTAGAGAGAGAGAAAGAATACATTAGACTTGCAAAGCAAACAAGGTTGGGATAACACTGAACACCTGTCCTCAAAATGCCTAAACCAGAGAGTTCCGGGAGACAAGGTGACGACAGAACACTACTGCGTGGAAGCTTCATGTCTCCTCCCTGCGTTAGGCAAGAACTGCTTCGCCAATGCTCTCGGAACGACTTTGACCGTGCTGGGCAACCTGGAGTTCACGTACCACTGTTCATATCTCCTGTACAGCGCGAGTTAATGTTATGGGCATGTATCTTCCCTTTACATGGTTCTATGGCATGAAAAATAACAGTAATCTCTACAGCTTCAACTTGCCAAAGGTCGGACCTCATGAATGCTCCAAAGGCATAAATCTTCACTGGAGTCCTAAGACCTTCTCTAGCAGATACAGAACAAGCACAGTTTGCTTCACGTTACAGTAAGTTCCTTGGGAAGGACACTGAGGACGGCAGGTTGGTTGTCTGGGCCACCTGACATCAGTGACCAGGAGAGGAAACCAAGAGACAAAACTTGCGTGGAAGGGCTCGGCCAGACATGGCTCAGAACAGCAGGAGGCGCAAGTGTTTGAGTCGAACTTCCCCTCAAACTCAAACTTCCTGCAGATCTTAGAAGCCAACCAAGGCCATGAGAGTCTCTCTGTGACGGGCCAGGCTTGTCCTTCACGCATCAGAAGGAGGTAACTCCTGCACAAGGGCAAAGATATTCTTTCCTAGCGCTTTGCCTCAGCATGCTCATTACTTCAATGGCTCCAAATTTAACAGACTGGGACTCACGGAACACATAGCAATGGTGAGGAGTTAGATTTCTTTTTATATTGTTATAATAATTGTTATACTGAAGCCTTTGTTCATTCCCGAAATATGACTCCAGGCGGTATGGATCACTTTGTCCAGTGTGAAATAAAAATATTTCTCATTTAAATTTATTATAATATTTATGACTTAGTGAATAATAAACAGCTAAGCTTTGTAGTTCTAATTAAAGAATTAAATAAGTATCCTACAACAATTATGTAGGAGTTACTGCTCTAAATACCACCATATGCAAGCAATGAATTGAGAAGTGCTGAGAGCCACAGTCACTTTAATAACCAACAGCCAAAAACACTTAAAGGGAAACAGAGGGAGAAGGAATTCAGAAGTTGAGGGTGGAGCCCCGGAAAATGCCATTCAAATGAAGAAGAAACAGGAAGTCTACATCATTCATTCTTTCTTCACATGCTGCCAACAGACATCAACTGTTGCAGCTTCAAAAGAATGAAGACTCCCTTATTCCCGTTGTCCACAAAATCAGTGAGAAATGAAACACAGGCCTGCAAAGGGGTGCTGAAGTTATTAGACTCGTAGGAGACCATAAAGTAGCAGCTCTTCATGACCTTGGGTTAGGCAAAGCCTTCTATGACACCAAAAACAAAACAACAAAATATAAAACAGCCCGGCTGGTGTGGCTGAGTGGTTGAGCGTCGACCCTGCACCAAGAGGTCGCCGGTTCGATTCCCGGTCAGGGCACATGCCCTGGTTGTGGGCCTGATCCCCAGTGAGGGGCATGCAGGAGGCGGCCAATCGATGCTCTCTCTCATCGATGGTTGTCTTTCTCTCTCTCCCCCTCTCCCTTTCTCTCTCTAAAAATCAGTAAAGAAAAAAAAAATTTTTTATTTTTTATCTATCCTCACTTGAGGGCATTTTTTTTTTCTTTTTTGCATTTATCTTCAGATAGAGTGGGAAGGAGAGAGGGCGGAAGAGAGAGAGAAACATCGATGTGAGAGAGACACATCCAGTGGCTGCCACCCACACAACCCCAACTGGGGCCTGGGACAAACTGCAACCGAGGTACACACCCTTCTTAGCAGGCACCGAACCCGGGACTCTCTGGTCCGTGAGCTGACGCTCTAACCGCTGAGCCAAACCGGCCAGGGCGAAAAAAAAATTTTAAATAAAATATAAAACAGATAACTCGGCCTTCATCAAAATGAAAACGCGTTCCAAAGCTGGCCCCCTGGCCCAGGCCCTGCAGCGCCTCCTGCGCCCTTCGGAGCCGCCTTTCCGGGCGCACACGGGACGCGCGTGGAGGAAGCCCGCGCCCACCCCCACAGCAGCGGGGTCACGGCGCTGAGTGGGGCTGGGCAGCGCCTTCCCGCTGCCGGAGCCAAGGTGGACCGCGGTGCGCCTGTGGGCCGCTGGCCTGGGATGGCCTCGGCCTGGCCAGCTGGACGCCGTTCAGGACGGCCCGGAGCCGACAGCTCTCCCGGCAGCAGCCGATGGCACCCGGCCTAGGCTGTAGCTGCTACTAGAGAGAGAGTCGTCTTCCAGCCTCCGGCCCTTCCTCATCTCCGTGGTGTCTGCGTCGTCCAAGGCTGGCCCCCTGGCCCCCGCGACGCTGCGAGCCACTCCCAACAAAGCCCTTTGTGTGCGGGTAGTCAGACAGAGGTGGACCGCACTGCCCACGGCCACGGCACTGACTGATGCACTCGCACTCCCGCCCCCCGGAGTGGAGACTGCGAGCCCCAATTCGTCTGCACCTTAGCTCCGGCAGAAGTGCCCGGGGAAGCCGGTCCGGAATAACGGGAGGGGCCGGCAGCCCGCATCACGTGTCAGGTTCTCCCCGTTTGGCCGTCGATCTATCTGGCTGACAACGGGCACCCATTGGTCCCCTCTCCTTCCTTCTCCTTCACCCCACCCCGGCCTCCATCACTGCTCCTGTGCTGCCCCGAGTTCCAGCGTGACAGTGGCCCTCGCGGTCACTGCTACCCAAGGCTTTTTGTTGCCGTTCGGTGTAGGAGAGGCTGCTGGCCTCCCTGACGCGGCCTCCAGAGCACGCTGGGCGGAAGGCAAACAGGTCGATGCCGTGGGCCGAAGGACACCTTTCTGCGGCTGACTACATACTGCAAGAGTTCAACATCCAGATGGACAGAGAAGTAGAAAGCATCGCCGCGAGAGGTAACTGCAGCTTTTAAACCCCACAAACTACCGCTCTTTTTTTCTAAATCCTCACCCGAGGACATTTTTCCATTTTTTATTCAGACAGAGCGGGAGGGAGAGGGAGGAATACAGAGAGAGAGAGAGAGAGAGAGAAACATCGACGTGAAAGGGACACATCGAGTGGTTGCCATCTGCACGACCCAACCAGGGCCGGGGACAAACTGCAACTGAGGTACGTGCCCTTAGTGGGAATCGAACCCGGGTCTCTCTGGACCACAGGCCGACGCTCTAACCGCTGAGCCAAACTGGCCAGGGCCAAACTATGCTCTTAAAAAAAAAAAAGAAATCTGAGCGTTTGCAGCAATGCACCTGTCACTCAGAGACCAGCCTGTGCCTCCGTCCCTTTCGGGACAGCTGAGTCCCATGTCAGGCTGGCAGCCCCCTCTCATCTGCATGTATTGGCCTTTCTAGAAAACAGCCAGCTCAGGGGACAACCCGCAGCCTCTCTGTTCAATGTCCTCTTGGAGGTGAACAGGCTTCTTCACTAACCCAGTCCCCCTTCTTTCTCTCCAGTTGCTCAAACTTCCCCTTTCCCACCCCTTGTACAGTCTTCAGTACTGCAGTTTCTATTTATATAAAATATCCGAAGGAACTGCACGTTTGACTTATATAAAAATGTTGAAGCTATTTTTAAAATAAGAAATATTTGCGAGAAAAACACTTGCATTTCTTTCTCTGCGTTTTGGGAGTCGTGGGGAACAGGGGCGGTGCTATCCCGCCTGCTGTCATTGTGAAATGTTGAGACCCCGTTTCACCTGGAGCCACCAGCAGTCTGCAGTCAGACGACCTGACTAAGGCAGGTTCTTAGACTCACTGTGCTCTGACCGCGTGAGCACAGAGCCCAACGGGGCGAAGGAAAGCTGCTGGGCATCTTTCTCGGGTGAGCACCATCAAATCTGACCTCAGGGCTGCAGAAGTAAAACCACCTGGGCAACACGTTTATCACTACTTGAAGCAACATTTTTGTCAAGTGCTAAAAAGACAGTACTTGAACTACTGCTGAGGTCAGACTCCCGGTCAGGCCGGGGCTGTCGACATCCTCTGGCGGTTACCCACCGGTCCCTGCTGTTGACCCCGCGTCAGCTCCAAAGATCACTAACTACAGAACATCCTCCCGGGCGGAGGGGTGGCAAGAACATCTCTCTACTGGACGAAAATGTCACGCAGACAGAGGACGGTGACGAGAAATGGGAAGTCAGGTAGACAAACCACACTGGAGCGAAGGCACATCAGACTGAGCAAGGGGAAGGAAGACACTCCAGAATCAATATTCACGATATCTGAGTGTCACAGGTTGGAGGATGTGAGAGCTTTGGAGACTGGGTGACCCCACTCTAGTGAGGCCAGGGTTCTCTGGGAAAGAGAAAGTCAGCCCCAGAAGGGCAGGGACCTTGCCCGGCCTGCCCACTATTGTAAGTCCAAAGCATGCACATAGTAGACACTAAATAAACCTGCTGAATGAATGGATGGGAAGTTCACCCAGGTTGAAAATCCAGGAGCGGCCCTGGCCGGTTTGGCTCAGCGGTTGGAGCGTCGGCCTGCGGTCCAGAGAGACCCGGGTTCGGTTCCCGCTAAGGGCATGTACCTCGGTTGCAGTTTGTCCCCGGCCCTGGTTGGTCGTGAGGGTGGCAGCCACTCGATGTGTCCCTTCACGTCAATGTTTCTCTCTCTCTCTCTCTCTCTCTTTCTCTCTCTCCCTCCCGCTCTATCTGAACAAAAAATGGAAAAAATGTCCTCGGGTGAGGATAAAAAAAATAAATAAATAAAAAATAAAAATAAAAAAATAGATAAAAAGAAAATCCAGGAGCGATGTTATGGCCAAAATGTTATCTTATTTAAGAATCTACAAATAACTTCATTTTTCTTAGTTGCAAACAATTTTTTTAAACTTGGTGCAGGGGTCAGGTAAACGCTTATCTACCTTTAGTCTGTTTGTGTTTTCGTTGGAACTAACTCTATGAACTTGGCCAAAAATAACTGGTTATGCCTTTCAGATAAAAT